ATATAATTTTATTATGTGGTAATTATTGGTATTATGTGTATTGTTATTGTTATTGGTATTATGTGGTAATTTTATTAAGCTGTAATCTCTGGTTGTAGGCTAAGCAGACGCTCATCGAAAAAAACAAAGCGCGCCTCCAGAACGAATGTAAGCCGTGCGTCGGAGAGAGGTGTCAAGCCAAGGCGGCCTCCTGCCGTAAGTACACTATATATAGTATGCATACAGATATATATATGTGCGCGTGTGTGTGTATATGCATGTGCGTGTGCGTGTGCGTGTGCGTGTGCGTGTGCGTGTGCGTGTGTGTGTGTGTGTGTGTGTGTGTGTGTGTGTGTGTGTGTGTGTGTGTGTGTGTGTGTGTGTGTGTGTGTGCACGTGTGCGTGTGCGTGTGCGTGTGCGTGTGTATGTAATATATATATATATATAAATATAAGCGCACGTGGTGTGTTTACAGAAATTGACAAGCTTCCCCAGAGTGTCCCTACTTGCGCCGGAATTAAAGCCATTAACATAGGTGGCGCCACAACCGACGAAGAGAAGGAGATTAAGGGGCGCGAACTGTTCGAGCTGTGTAAATTCTACATGCGGCAGTGCCCGAATAACGAGCTGTTCAGCGAAACCTGCACGCAGTCCGTTCTCGACAAATGTCAGGCAAAGAGCAGAGAGTGCAGTAAGTTCGCGTGGAAATTTTCTCTCTAATATTATGCATTCATCTCCATGATGTATAGTGACAGTGACGTCATCAACGACGCGTTCCTCGATAAAACTGAACCAGTGGTGTGATGATTTTAACAATCGATTTTCACTGTATCGCGAGTTTTCATAAATGATCGTGAATGTGATCGATTCGTTTCTATTTTAGTTGTATTCTAGCTATATATAATACTTTTATGTAAATCTAGTTTGATATCCTAAGGTCACCGTCATATACGAGCAAATTGGCTTATAGATTATCGTGCCTTTAGCTGCTGCTGCGCTGCCGACTACTGAGCCTGCTTGTCCGGCCGTATTAGAGGCAGCTAAGACCGAGGATCAGCAGAAGATAGCGGACATGTGTCTTTACTACGCCAGAACCTGCCCGAACTTCAACCAAGGCGGCGAGATATTCAGTCAGTCGTGTATCGTCTCTATAAACACGAAATGCCAAGCACGAATGAAATCGTGTAGTAAGTACATTGCTCTTTTGCTCTCTCTTTCGCGCGCTCTCGCGCGCTCTCTTTCGCGCGCTCTCGCGCGCGCTCTCTCTCTCTCT